GGCTTTGAGGGAGCAGTCTGGCTGCGGTCTGTTCATACGAACTGTATCACTCACGTGCAAGAGAGGGCTGTGGAAAGAGCAGGCGGCTTGTCCAGCTCACCATCTGAACGGAGACCCAGCTGCAGGCTGGCTCACCTCTCTTGTGAGGGGTGTCTGTTAGCTACCTGAGCTAAAATATGTTTTACAGACCAGCAACAACTTTTCTGTTCCTAAACAAATGTCAATTTACAGAAGATCCAAATCAGTTACCTCTTTACATGCATGTTCTTTAGGCATAAAAGATAGTAGTGTGTATAAAGATGTTGTCATAAAAATTAAAAAAAACCTAAAAAATAGAGTAAGGATAGGATAAATGTTTCAATAAAGGTAGAGAAAACTTTCAGTTTTTAATAATGCCACATTGCCTCTTTGAACTGATGCCTTCTTCCTCTTGGAAAGGGCAATATAAGAACTCTCTAATGATTTATTGTGAATGATACATGCCCATCACCTGATGTGGTTTCCCAGGATGGAGAGGATAAGCTACCCCATTATCACCGTGGTGCCTAGCACTAACAGTGAGCCACGCAGTTAACATTCAGGGGATTGCTTACTGCTCAGATAAGCAGCAATGAACTTCTTGCCTTTAAAGAAGGCTGAAAGAGGTTTTTTTCCCAACTGAATACACACAGGTGGCTTTCTGATGTAAAAAACAATTATATTTTGTTAGAAAAATGAGCAAGAAGGTATATTATTTCTGCCAAACCATGCATAAAACTGTAATCTTTCTGTTTTTTAACTATAACATTCATTCCATATAAATCAAGCTAATTGGGAGAATCAGGATTACAAATGTCAATAACAGATTTCCTGATTTCTTGTTAGGTAGATAGGGGCTCTTTGAATTATTTTGTTTGTTTGTTTAAAACAAAGAAAAAATCATTACCTTATATATTATTTTGTGGGTTTTTTTCAATAAAATAAATATTTCTGTTCAACAAATATTTCCATACATATCTGTGTCCAACGATACAACCTTTCCTTTCTACTATGTGACATTATTTCTTGCTTACAGCTATTGTTGCCATGCAGCAGATTCACACAACTTTGATTTTTCATATTTAAACATTTCCTAAAAGGCAATATTTGGAAACACTGCAGCACAAATGTTCCTTGTAGGTAGAGCTGAAGAACTCTGAATCCTCTATCTTGTGTCAAGTTTTTGATTCTTTGTAGTGATTTTCCAAACCTACAAGAAATCATTTTAGATCCAAACTGTACCAAATAATCCTAAAGTAAAGAAAGAACAGCTGAAAGCATTTTCATCTCCCACCACATTTAATGGTGCAAATGGAATTCGGGAATCTCAGAAAACTCCTAATGAAGAACAGTGTTTTGTCCTATTTAATTTCTCCTGAGAAAGCATGGACATAACAATATATCCCTGTTAAATATTAGGTTTGTATTTTACACCAATTCATCTAATGGCAGCTACTCTGACCTGTAGTACTTCTGACCCGGGACAAAAGCATAGCTGCACTGCAGTAAATAGCAGTCCTCCCCAGCGTGTAACACAGAGCATCCTGACATGGAGACAGTTTTTCTCCTACCCACACCCTGCAGTTGGTTGAACATGACATGACTGCCATGTGTTGGATGGGACAGAGCAGACCGAACGCAGAGGGCTATCTGGTTCAAGGGTAATTTCACTTGTTTCCAGGTTGCGGGGTGAGTCTGTGTGAACCACAGCTGGAAAATTCCTCAGCCTCCAAGGAGACAGGTATTTCAGGGGCACTGTCTGTCAGAGCCCTGGAAGACGTTGTTTCCCAACAACGTGGTCGAGACGCCACCGCAACACTCCCAGTGCTGGAGCAGAGCCACCCCAGGGTCACAGCCAGGAGCTCTCTCCATCAAGGACTGCCAAGCTTCCCAGAACCGGCCAGTACTTGAGCATGTGGCTCTGGAGTCGCCTGCCAGGGCAGGGGTTTATCTTGGGCACTTTGAAAATTTATCAAACACATGAAACACTGCAGACAACGCTCCAGGTTGAAAGAATCAGCACTGCGGGTGTGCCAGCAAACACCTGGATAGCTCTAGATAAGAGATTAGACTGCTGCAGCAGTGTAAAGTACATCGTGTTTTTGAAACCAAGGTAATGAGACAAGGAGTGAGAAACAAAAACCCAATTACAGCTACAAGTATTTCAATTACGTGCTAGGATATGGAAGAAAACTTTCTTGAAGTCTCCCTTTCCTGACCTCAACTGCTGCACTGGATTTTTTCATTATATTAACACGGAGATGAAATAGAAATTCCAACCTCAGATTTGCTTTTTCTATGGTATTAAAAAATGAGTGTAAGTTTGCGAAATACAGTCTAAAATGCTTTTTGCCAGGAACCTTTTTCTCAATGGATTTTTTTTTTTTCCATAGACCCACCTAACTGTCTTAAAGATATTAAATAGGGGGCAGGGATCTGAATAAAATGAAGACTGTTAGTGAAAACTTACATTCTAGTTTTCATCTGAAAAGGTCCGATCTAAGTTGCTAAAAACTAAAAGAAGTTATAGGCATTTTAGCTGCTGATGAAAAGACTACATTTTACATGGAACTCCCCCTGAAGTTTAGCTCTGAAAACAAAGAGGAAAGGAATACCCAGAAAATGAAGCAATGGTGGGGGCATGTGGAGACCTGCAGCTGCTTTTTTCGTAAGCACTTTCCAGATCAGAGCCAAAACCATCTTTCCTGTCCTCAGAGGAATCTCTAGCTCTGTTAGGAAGAAAAGGGTAAAATCAATAGCACTTATTTAATTCCACAGTGCCATATCTTCACAACTCTGCTGTGTTCAAATCAGCGTCTTTCTCAGGGAGGCAGGGTCCGTATTTGGCATAGCCCTGAGGGAGCTATAGCAATGCTCTTTTCTCCATATTTATGATTTGCTCACATCGTAGCTGTGTACCCCTCTTTCCCTCAAAAACAAGAATTCAGAAACTATTGGAGCTTCTTGTAAAGCAAGAGTAATCTGTTGTTTGTTACCAACTAGGAGGATACACAGCACAGTTGGTGTAACTGCTTTTGAAACTTGCAGTTTTTTTCATTTTTTTAGAGAAAAACCCCTCCAAGTAATTCCTGCTTGCCTTTGATTAATTTCTTACAAGGCTGACGAAAAAATTTAATAAAAATATCTCAGTCCAGATACATTTTTCTCATGTTGAAATGTCATAAACAGCTCAAAACTCAGCCAAACTCGCTGAACGGTCATAGACTGGGCTTCTCCTACTGCGTTTGGCTTCATGTTAAACCTTAGGCAAAGCACCATCCTGCTGAAAATTTTAGCAAACGAGGACCTCAGATAGCCAAGTAAATTGAAATTAATGCCATAGCTACACAGTCAGCTAGGCAACAGAATTGACTCAGCTGTAAAATAACCCCACCACATTAATTTTCAAGCTGACTGGGGTGTGGAGGCAGGAGGGGGTGACACAGGCAGTGGTGCCCAGGGACAGGGAAGGAGTGCCCTTAGCAGCACATCAATGCAGTGGAGTGGCCACATCCTGAGCTCACGCACCTGCATGTTGACATCAAGCAGAGGGAACTACTCTCAAAGGAAAAATCGGTTAAAGTTTTCAGAGCTCTGCCTTTGGCATTGCAGCCCTTTTGCAGCCCCTGGAGACACCAGCTCCCACCAGCAACCCTGGCAACCCCAGATTCAGGGCTGAGTGTTTTTACACCGCACACATGACTTTTTCTACATTCACAGAGCAAGACCAACACAGACTTTTACCACGTTTCATTTTTCTTTTACCATGGTGAGAAAAAGGATCATCATCAAAAAGGACGAGGGCCATTAAAAACTCAATATTCCACTACACTTGTTGGTTTATGGCCTCATTTTGCAGCAGCTTGCTTTATCAGGTGTGCAGCTTCGTTGCCTGTTCTATAGCCCATGTGATTCAAGAGTTTGTTTTCTGTAGCTGGTACCTGGCACAGAAATTACTCTGGAGTGCACATTACAGAAGACCTGATTCTCCAATCTGTTAGCCAGTTTTAGCACTGTCTCCACACTTTTCTGTGAAGATAGAAGGAAAAACCTGTGCATTGGAGATCAGACCTTGTTTTGCTGATAGTTTTCACTGAAAAAGTAGTGTTACAAAACACTACTGCATGAAAAATAGCTGTGCTTCACTTTCCGTTTATTGCCTGTCCTCAGCCAAACCCAATCAAAATTTTGTGGTACCCCTTAGGTGATGAAACATTCACTATCTCACACCTTGAAGACAGGAAGAGCAATCCAGTAATGCTAGGAAATGCCCTGCTGTCTTCTCCACAGCATGGCAAAAGCTCACACATTTGAAAACTGTAAACGTATTCCAACTCACATTTATTCACGTTACTGCTTTCACATTGATGTGGTGCAAGATACTGCTCATTTCAGATGGGGCTATTGACATGCCCCAGTAAACTCTTGATATCTTTTATACCATGAATTAATACTGTACTCAGAACATTAATAAATACTTGAAAAGTCTGTAAATGACCTACATTGAACTCCTTTGTAAAAGTATTTACCTTATTTAAATGGATTTATTTGGGTGTCAAAATATATTCTACTGTGAACTGCTGGATGCAACAGTTCTGAGAAATTTTGTGCACCTGGTATGGTCTTTGTCACTGCTGTAAGTCTGCCCAAGTTCAGGATTGAGCAGAAAGTGATGAAGAACCTGCAGAGCCAAACTAGATTTGATCTGAAGATGCTCACTTTGCTCTTGTTAAAAGCAGCAGGTCTTGAAGCAACCCAGCACTTCCCAGGGAGCTCCTGCGGGCTGGTGCTCAATGATCTGCTGCTCCAGTGATGCCTCAGCCCAGGATGAAATGTTGGATGCTTCCACCTCAGCTCGGGATGAAATGCTGGATGCTTCCACCTCAGCTCGGGATGAAATGTTGGATGCTTCAAACTCCTCTGAGTTCTCTGAGCACGTCAGACTTCCTCACACGCACATGTGCATGTGTGTATGTGTGCGTGTGCTACTCACCATCCCCATGGAGCAAAACCAAAGAGCCGTGCTAAGTACATGATGTGGCAGTCCCTGACTGTGCCCTCTAGACATAGCCTTCGTGACAGATGTGGTTGCCGTTGATAAGGCTGAAGGTGGCCAGGGAATGGTTGGTGCTCTTGAGGGAGGTCATTCGTGTGGTGCTCCTGGCCATGCTCTGGGACCGGATGAGGAGGCGAGCTCTGCAGCAGAACAGCTGGTTGTTGAACTGTTTCCGAAAGCTCTTGCTGAGCAAGTAGAGAGCAAATGGGTTGACACAAGAGTTAGTGAATGCCAGGATCCGAGCGCAGAGGCTCGAAATGAAATGCAGCACTGAGGTGTCCACCTCTGAGTAGTGGTAGGACCGGTATAAATAGATAATGTGAGTGGGAAGCCAGCAGAAGGCAAAGAGGCACACAAAGACCAGTACTGTCCTGGCCAGGCGTTTACGGGATTCAATCTGGAAGCAGAATGAGAAACACAGTTTAGCAGCTATTCCTAGCTCAGACCAGTAGCTAACTATTTTTTCCAGTGCTGCAGCTCTGGGGCTAGTGCATGGCAGGCAGCATGGCCAGAGCAGGGCAACCTGGACTGCAGGTGAACCCTCCTTGTCTCTCCTCAATCCCCTTCCCCTAAAACCAAATAATTCTGAAAATTTATTATGTAAGGAAGTAGTCTTTCCTTTCCTGTTTAGAGATAATTCCAATGGCTTGTCACTCTAAAATCCCAGCTCAGGCAACAAAAGTGCAGACACCTGCATTAGTTATCCACCTGTAATATATACAATCATACATAATTTATATATGTTAACTCAGTATTATTACTAATATTATTATTAATTATGGGGTAGGTCTCTGGGATATTTCACAGATTCCAGAGGCAGGACCTTCTGCCTTGGGGCCATGTGGTATATGTACACAAAAGTGCTGCCAACAGCTCATGGCCCTGAGAGACCAAGTGCAGCACTCAGAGGCTGAAGGAGCCAGAGAAACCCAGAGAGGAAATTCTGCACTTGGAGAAACACAGAGGCAATGGTGAATTGGACCCATCAGCTGAAAAAGCTGGGGCCATGAGAAGACAGATGCGGGTGGCAAATACATAGATGACCACCTCTCTTAGCATAATTTGAGCTTTGTCAGGGAAAGGTGCTTTTACAGTGTCAGCTAGCACACAGTACAACCTTCATGCAGACAAGCCACTTGTTTTACTTACGTGTACAGGTTTGGAGTCAACCCAAAGGTATTGCTCAACAGAGGGGAGCTGAGGTAAACTCTACCTTGCATTTTGTCCACCAGTGCTGCATACTAAGATAACAATGGCATTGAAAAACACATCTTTCTTCCTAATGAAGACAAGAGCCATGATGGAGGTCACCCAAAAGGAGAGGACAGAGTTGCCCAGAAAGACCTGCTGAAATAAACTGCTCCCTGGGAGAGGTTGCGCAGCCAGATGATTGCAGTCATGGAAAGTCTAACACTGCTGACTTCTTGGGGCTTCATAATGTTCTCCTTTCTGATAACCCCTGCACCTCTTCCCAGGCACTCCTAGGGAATTTGTTGTCACCCACTCCCTGTATCTGAATATGACCTGAATGGTCTGAAGTTGTCCCCTGCCCTGCTGCCCTTGCTCCCGCGCTGGTGCAGCTGGGGTGCCTAGCCAGGCTCCCGGGATGATTCCCCATCCTCACTCCCCTTCCAAGCTGCACAGGTAAACTGGAAACTAAGCAGCTCACACAGGCTGGTTTTAGGACAGCTGCAAGCAGGGAGTAGGCAAAAGAGACCTGACAAAACCATTCTGACTTTATTTTGTACCCCTTTAACGGCACCAACTGAAAATCAGCCATTGAGCTTCAGAAGGATTGACATGTACCAGATGATAATGTCTCCAGAGAGCAGGCCGAAAATTAAATCCTTTGAGAATGGGTTCTCCTTGGCTAAACCATATATTCTTTTTAAATGTATCCTTAATTTGATATAGGGCTATTGAGGCCACATCTGCACTATAAAGAAAGGAAGCAACGCAATAAAGAAATCGATACCCGTTTTCTCAGATGGAGACCTATAGCTCCTGAATGCACTACAGGACAGGAATGATGGACTGATAGTGCTAGACTGCAGCCTTTTGCTTTCTTTAGAGCTCTCTCCCCAAAACTAAAGGGGGAAAGGGCTGCTTTTACTACTCACTTTATCATCACTAATCAAAACAGTCATCGAATCAGCAGAAAAATCGCCTGCAGGGGAAAAAGATTTCTGCACATTCAGAAGGGGAAAAGGAGGTTTTCAGGGATCACACATCACTTAATGGGCAGAAAACACAGCTTTCCAGCCTTGCTGTTTCACCTCAGCACCTGATGGATGTGTGAGATGATAGCATTAGGTCAGCTGAAGGTGGAGATGTCAGCTGGGTGCAATTATATGGACATTTGTTCAGCTGAAGAATGGCTTGTGTCAGTTTAGCTTAGGTTGAAGCACACCTCAGTTGAAAGGAAGAGAGGTAAGGTAAATAAGCTAGATATGTCAAGGTAAATAAATTGTTTAGAAACAAGTTATCCTGTTGTTATTTTCTTACTTGGACAACCTAAGGCTCACATGCGTTCAAATTTAAGCACTGACCTGAAATACCCAGTTGCTCATGCAGGATTTGGATTTCCTCCTGGAGGTGACTCTTTTTCTCTCCAGTTGCTTACAAAAGGAGCAGTCAAGAGGAAAGACTCTCCAGTTGAAAGGCTGGAGTTCATTTGGCCAAATCCTGGCTAAATCCCCTTACTTGGTTCAGGACTTGCACATTTTCAGCCATACATTTTCAGACAGAGAATGAAGCACTTGAAATACATGGGTCCCAGCTGAGCCAGTCCAACAGTGAGCTCTGTGGTGGGGTTGTTTGGGGAGTCTTATAAAAAAACACTCAAGAGTGACAGTAATAGAAGTAGCTCTGCTGTCAAGGGTACAAATGAAAGATTTAAAGACTCTATTATTCTGGAGAAAATGGCCTACTTACATAAATCAAAGACTGTCTTACGGTGAAACCTGAGGTTACCAGCTACTGGACCAGAAGAAGATTGACCAGTCTGACTTACTAGAGGGCAAGTAACGGGTGGACAGGTTATTCTGTCCAACACCACTCCCGCCTGGAGACAACAGAAGGAGAATTATAATGATGAAAGGGAAGAAACCAGGACTCTACTTTTCTCTTGAGACTTCACACTGCAAAGATCACACCATCCACCAGACATAAAACTTTGGTGCATCTGTGGGGACCCCACACTGTCGTGCTCTGTCCTCCTTCCTGGGGACTCTGTGCCCACCACCATCCTCCTCTGGTCTGCACTCCCCCAGTCCCTCCCTAGCCTGTACTGATTTCTCAGCACGGCACAGCACCAGCAGAGGACAGCTGAGGTCATGGCAAGCGCAGGAGCTGTCGCCACTCTCACAGAGCAGGTGCGCTCCTCCCGCCCTGACCGACCGACCGACTGGTACCCCTGGCCCTGGGGTGCCCTTGCAGAAGGGGCTTTCCTCACTCCCACTTCCCCGTTGCTGTGTCCCATTTGCTTTTCAGTACAGAGGACCAAATTACAGAGCTAGCATTTCCCTTTCTGTGAAAAGGGACTGCTTTGCAGAGCAAGGCTGTATTCAAGGTCCTCTCTCTGACAAAGCAACTTTGAGAAGTTTTGATTTTCTGCTGTGTCACCCCTCAGCTTTAATCTCCAAACACCAGCCCCAGATCTGCCTCTTTCCCTGCATCCTAGTCAATACCTTCCCAGGCTTTGGCATGTGTTTGCCATGGTAACCACCCTGCCAAAATCTCTGAACTTGGAAACAGGAGAAGATGCTTTAACTGTTTAGCCTGTGCCATGGCTTGTGTCAACCACTTAAATTCTTTTAGCTCACATTATATATTAAAATTAGCACAACAGATTGCAGTCTGTCCCAGTGTAAATTTCCCTGTATGTGCACTCTTCAGTCCCAGATTCACGGGGAATGTGGATTTTTGAAGAAAGTCAAGTCTCTACCTGTTTCCTCACATGCATGTTTCCTTCCACAGGGATGTTGTAAGCACTCCGGATCAAATTCTTAGCAATGAAATAATAATATACTGAAATGACAGATAGGGGAATGATATAAAAGATGAGAAATGATGCCATGGAGTGAATTTTGGGATGCAGCCCATCTGAATGTGGGTAAGGGGCACAGCTGATGAAGGTTTTATTAGTCCCTTTGTCATGGAAAGGGTGCAGATCCGAAAACACTGCTTCAGGGATAGCAAGCAACATTGATACGATCCAGATTATAGCAGCTCTCACACAAATCTTCATCAGTGCATGGGATGCTTGGATCTCCATCGGCCTTACTATAGCTTTATACCTAAAAAATAAAAAAGAGAGAAATAATTCATTGACCTCAACACCGGGGCATTTTATTCTTGCTTGTCCTTTCCATTTAGAAAACAAAACCAAAATTCCTCTACTCAAATTCAAAAAATTCAGGACTGAATTTTTTTCTGATGTTTTTGATTTCAATGTTTTCAATAGATTTCTCATTTTAAACCAGAGCCACCTGTCTTGTGTCCATTCATTTTCATGTGTATTGATTCTGAGTTCATTTAATTTGTAATCAACCCAACAAAGCATGGTGCTGCCTGACTTTGATATGTATGTACCCAAATAGCATTAATATAGGAAGTGCAATCATAGACTTCTCTCTGAAAGCAGTTTACACCCCTTCACAGAATAGTGTTGAAGGAAACTGAATGGAGGTTTTGCCACACATTTCATTTTGAGCTGTGAGTACACTGGCCTCCTGCAAGCCAAATCTTATGTTTTCTCAAGCTACAAAGAGAATGTTGCTCATTTTAATTGCTGTTTGGTGGTGCAGCTGGAAATTAACAGTTGTCCGTGACTCAGTGCAGCCAGGCTAAGTAGCCAGAGCTGCTAACTGACTTTCTCGAGGAAAAAATACTACTGCTTGCTATGCTAGATATGTAGAATACTTCTTTTGATTTGCAATTTTGTCTTTCATGATTTCAGCCTTTCAGAAAATTGCATTTTAAAATCGAAGAAAGTTAAGGAAGCAAACTTATTTGAACCTCATGCATGTAATGAGAGGATCATAAAACAGAAGAGCTTCATACCTGCTGGAGCCCTGCTTTGGAAGGAGTGTACACTCCAAGTAAATCATGATTCACATACGCATTTAAGGAACACAGTAGAAGGAAAAAAGATAATTAAGAAGGAATATCTTCATAAATTATTATTTAAAGGCTTCATAAATTATTATTTTAGGATTATTATCGTAACAATTACAATTAATTGGATGTTTCTTGTCGGATCTACCTCGAACTGCCCATGGCCCATTTGATCCCTCGGTCACTGTCAGCTCCCTGGGGACTTATTCTCCAAGATCTCCAGTTCCCCTTTATTCCAGCTATACAGCTGCAACAGCCAGACACAGTATTTTTCAGGCTTGCTTAGCACCTCTTTAATTTGCATTATGAAGGTGGGGATTAAGCGATGTCATACTACAAAGCACAATCTTCCAGTGCAAGATCATCATCTCAGGTGAAGAAAATCACAGCAGCTAAACAAATATGATGTTACAACTATTGCGGTAATAAAATGGAAAAGCTAGGCAGATTACTACAACAATGTAGCTGAAATAGCTCAATTTATAGCCTGATTCACCAGTTACAGATTACTGATGGAAACACTAGCTAACTGAACATCTTCAGTAAACCTGAAGGAAGATAAACGCAAAAGGAAATTAATTACATATCAACATATTAATAAATTTAGTTAATTCGAAGGTATTTCAGCAGGTGCTTATTGTATGCTTATCAACATGGCATGTTAGCATAATTATTTCAGGAATTATCTTACATAATATAGCCAGCTGAGAAAATATTTTCCAATATTAATTTCCAGTAACATGAATGCATTGAAGAATACAGAAAAAGAGAGATTTGGGTTTGTTTGTTTGTTTGGGGTTTTTTACCAACATTAATAGAATAGGGACAGTCAGAAAATGAATTCATTTTATTAGTACATGTTAATTAAAGATGGTATTTTCAAACAGTGTAATTTTGAAAGAACATAATTAGAAATGGCTTGGAATGCTGTCACTGATTATTAGGCATTTTAAAATTTATTTTTTAAAGCCTGCTAGAGAGCTAGAAAAGAAGATCTGGGAGATGGCTTGCTTGCAAGGGGCTCAGTGTAGACCCAGATCATGAGGTTGAAAGCACAAAAAGATAAACCAGAAAAAACAAAGCTAGAAACAGGTTTTGAAAATGTAAGATGTAGGAACACAGGTAGATATTTGCTTAAAAAGTCTGACAGTTGAATCAAATTCTTTTGCCGACTATCTGCACGACTTCTTTGATAGTGGGCTAATTTACTCAGAAATCTTCAGTGATCTATGTTATCCTCTGAGTATTATGCTTAATTGATCAGTATGGATCTGGTGGGAGTCTCCATTTCCAGTCACCTTGCCGATGAGTTGATGGGTCTCTCCCCAGCTTGTGCCTCAGCAGCTCTGCTTTCCCATGCCAGCTTGGGGTCGGGACAGCAGCTGCAGGGGCTGCTCTGAGTGTGCACAGAGGAGCACGCACGAGCGATCAGACCCCCGCCCTGGGCTGGGGCTTGGGCTCGGACACCACTGGAAGATTTGCACATGGCTGGTGCTCAGGGAGTGAAAAAGCTGCATCTTCTGGTTGGTTTCTGAGTGGGGTTCAGAAACTCCTTCATTCCTTTATTTTTTCACATCACTCTCCTGATAGCGTCAACCCTGGATTTTATCATTTATTTGACACTTCTTAAGAACTTGAGCAAGGTAGACCGGATTTGAGCAGCAGCTTGTCCTGTTTCTCATCATCTGTATTTCCAGCTTGTGTGTCAAATATTATTTCAAGCTTTCCACAGCTTTGTCCTCTGCAACTCCTTTTTCAAAAAGTTAGCCTGAGGCACATAGCTTTCCCATCTTTAACACCCAGCATTTGAATAACCCAATCCTCATTGAAGGGGATGGTGATATGCCTATATAGGTCAGTGAGGCCATGGACCTAGGTGGCTAGTCAAGTAAACCCTCATCCAAGTGTCTTACAACAGCATTATTTTTAACCCATTCAATAGCACAGTCTCTGAGAGTACATGGATGCTCAGCTTATCTGCAGTAGATGTAGACATGGCCCTGGATTTATCACCTCTCCTGCTCTCACATTCAGTCTCTAATTGTTGTTCGATACCAATTTTTTTCAACTGAACTCCATTCCTGACCCACTTTCAAAGATATTTTCAAAAAAGATTAAAAAACAGAGGTATGATTCATGCCCTACAACAAAGGCCAAAACTTAAAAAGAAAAATATGCCTTCTGAAGATTCAGCTGAATAAAAAATGTTACAGTTAAGAACTTGTGTCAACTCCAGTCTCTCTCCCGTTGTCAAATGGCTGGGATGAAAATGACTGGGTTGCCAGTCTGATAGGAAATATGAAAGAGACACTGACCTTTACTACTGCTCAGTCCTTGAACAACTTTGTTCCCACTGTGCTTGTGAAGCAGCAACCTGTCTTGTGCACAGTAGCTACCAACGACCTTCTGGCCAGTGATCACTGGATGCCAGTGATCTCTGTGTCTAGCAGTCTCATTCAAAGAAGCCTGCACAAAGAAATTACACGTGGGGCTATCTTAACTGCAATTATCATAATCACAGTTCATGAGGTACTGTGAGGATTCACCCTGTAGGGCAATCTTCCCCTTCACCAGCCACAGTGACTCCAGTGCCATCCCTCTTCTCAAGGTCAGTCTCCAGGCCTCTAAGAGGAGCCTGGTGAGATGGTTGCTTCAATCCAGAATACCATAATTCGGTAATATATAACGCAGGATCACTTCTTAACCTAATCCCCAAAATTCACTGGGGAATGGTAGGAGCTCACGAAGAGTGCACCTCTCGTGCTCACTGAGTAGTTGTTTCTCACAACAGAAACTACTGAAATGACCATAAACCTCTAAAATGTGACACACGCAAGGTTTTTCTGTGGTAAATACTTTTCCCACTGAGGTTAATATGCCAGGGAAACTGGAAAACTGTGTCATTATCCTTGTGTTAATAATAATGTAACTAATGATAACACCACCTAATGTACTCTAAAACTTCGACTATGCAAACATTGGTTAATACCGTACACTTAGCCCTAAAGCTGCAACTTCAAATATAAACACAGAAGTAGCTTTATCATGAGAAAGACAGTTACAGTTACACTCTCCAAAGTCACAGATCAAAATAAGGCCCCAAATGAATGTCAGAGTTTCCTAGATGCGGTTTCTCTGCTGGTGCAAAATATTAGAGCCACCTTTGTGCTCCTCTGCTTAGCCAAGAAAATATGCACCAGCTGAAGTATAAACAGACTTTGCCCTCAAAGCTATATTGCCTATGAGTTCCTAAGCATAGAGATATGAAGGGTTGAAATTTTGTTCTCACACTGGAGAAAGGACCTTATTCCTAAGGCAGCAGCCCCAGCACATCCCTCGTGTTTTTTTTGCTGTCACCTTCATCTACTTATTTGTGCCTGCTACAACAGCCACAAAAATTAAATTAAAACAACTAAAGCATGTGGAAAAAATCAGATGCTTCCCCTGGATTTTAATTTAATTTAGCTCCATATATCTCACTGTCTGTTGGTTTGTTTTTTTTAGGGAGGTAACTTTATGTTGTTTGGGGAAGCTGGCATTGTAGGCAGCCTTAGCTTCCTTTCCTCTCTTATATTTGATTTGTATTAATGCCTTTCCCCCTTCTGTTATGTCAGCAATTAAAACTAATGTAGATGGCCCATACAACAGCCCTCGTTGTATATCTGGTAGCTACAGGTTGCAAAAAAAGAGACAGGCTTTTCTAATCTGAGAGATACCACCTTCTGCAGCCTCTTTACAAGTGGTAGGTCAGTAGGCCTTAATTTCAACCAAAATAGTTTGTGTCCTCTAATATCTGCAGTTGCTGCCAGTGGCAATGGAAATGAAACATCATTCCCTCATGTCAGTGAAGGCAGCTGGTTACACAGGTAGGTGGCTGTTGGAGATGATACTGGTGTCCAAATATGACAGCAAGGATTGTATAGCAACTATGTGTCAGCCACTGCATCACTCTCATCTATTGAATCTGACTTAATAAGAGGTGGTAAGTTGCTTTCATAACTCTTTCTTCCTTTTTTCAGCAGTAGGAGTGTAGTAAGAGAAAATGGCTGAAAGAGGCTATACCACAAGAGTACTGCCCTTTTTTAACACAGTCCTTCCAAGCATGCCTATCTTCCTGCAGCTGAACCTCATGCTTGCAAGAAATATAAGAGAAAAAAAAAATCCTCCCCATCCTTTCTAC